CAGCCTGTCGCTGACCTCGCTCTTCTCGCCGCCCCCGGCGGCGCTGACCCTGCTGAAGAAGTGCAGCAGCACCAGCAGCCTCCAGGCCAGCCCCTCGCCCCGCCGCCCCGCCGCCCACCACGCCAAGCCCTTCTACACCGTCGACCCTCGGGGCTTCCTCTCCATGCCCTCCTGGGTGACGGACTTCTGCAAGGACACCCCCTCGGCCAGGGAAGGAGAGGAGCCAGACGGCCCCGGCAGACTGGGGACAGGGGACCGCAGCTCCCCGCTCCCTTCCGAGCTGGAGCTGGGCGACGGAGTCAGCAAGAGGAACAGATGAGGGTCCCTGAGGCGCAGGGAGGGAGCATTCGGCCGCCGGCACGGGGAGCACGTTTCACTAGCTTCTCCCTGGCAGCAATTCCAAAGGATTTGCGAGAAAAAGAAAACAGGCAAACAAAAATTTATAAATATATATATATACGTAAATATATATATATATATACATATATATATATAATAAATATTCTGGTACCGTACCTCAGAGGTGTGGGAGAGTGCAAGCAATACGTGAACAGTCCTGCCTGAGGGCAAGACCTGGACCATCACCCCAGAGACTATAGTGACAAGAAAAGGCCATGGGGCTGGCAGGGACAGGACCCTCCAGCCAGGTGACTGCTATGTGGCAGCTGTTTAGTCCTATACATATACATATATAGAGAGATCGATTTATTTATTTTTTTTACTGAGAGATTATGAATTTCAGAAAGTGCTAAGGAGGAACAAGAGAACGGGGGGGGGGTGCTAAAGGAGCTGCTACACCAAACCATGAGGGTGGGGTGAAGGGAAGCAGGGTGAGCAGCAAGGGAAGAGCATCTGACGCTTGCCTTGTGTGTTTCTGCAAGCTTCTTTATTGTCCATGCTTCCATTTCCAAGGTTAAAAATCGTGGGCCGGATCTTCAGGGTGAGCATAAATTGGCAAAACATGCCGTTGGTGTAAAGCAGCAGAGTTTTGGCTTGAGGTGAATTCATGCTGATTTACAGCAGGTGCAAATCTGGCCCCAGCAACAGTGAAAAGCAAATATCCATGGACCACAGGGAAACGTTTTGAGGTGAAAAGCCTTGCTTTGAAGGGAATGTGTGAACACAGCGGGCACGCTCATGGAAGGAGTGATAGGAGGCTACATGGCTTTTTTTTGTTGTTATTTTGTTGGGTTTGGGGTTTTTTTTCATTTTCCAAAGAAAGAAAACTACAAAGGGTAAAAAATTACAAGGCTCGTGGGGATATTGGAGTGGGAGAGGCAGGGTGGAAGGGAAGGGGGAGGTAAAAAGGGAAGAGGAAATTGAACTTTTCCCCCTTTTATTTGCAGTAATTGTGATATTATATTTTAGAAGCCCAAAGGTGCAAAAATTATCCCTAGAGAAACCTATCTGTTATTTTTGTATCTATAGCTATATATATTAAAAGAATTCAAAACCTAGAATATTCAAAAAAGACATAAAAGCAAAGGGGGCTTCAACAACACAAAATGCAGTCGGTCCCTTGGCTGAAGGCTAACCCTGTTCCAAGTTCCAGTGAGAAGAACCTGCAAGCACATCCTCAGCTCGGTGGTGGTTCTGAATCCTCTCTAGCATCATCCTTTGGCATTTTCCTGGTTTGCATCGGTGTACCTGAGACCAGAGTCCTAATCAGTGCCAGCCACGGACATGGAGGGCAGTGAATATTGATTTGCCATTGTAAGGATGCTGATGTGTGCTGTGTCCAGGCCAAGTGGTTCACTACCTGGAGAGATGGGTGAGAAGGACAAGGAGAACTGCAGCTCTCCTTGTCTCTGCCTTGCAGGGCAGTGGGAGTGGGGAGGATTGCAGAGGGTGAGGGCAGAACGACCCCTCAATCCATGACCTGCCTCAGGATCCAGGATTCTGTCCAGCACCATTCTCTCCCAACGTGGTTGCAACGAGGCTTCCAGAGGCTGCATCCCTCCTTGCTTTTCCAGTGGTACAACTGCACAAGTCTCCTTCCTGGCAGGGCCAGCCTGGATCTCCTCCTGCAGCAGCTCCAAGGTTTTGTACCCTTCCCAGATTTGCAAATGGGTAGGAAAACCAGCCACCCGAGGGGAACAAAGAATTTTGGATGTCATGTACCACCCCAGGGATGTTCCACTCAGATGTGTCAGAGAAGACAGACTGGGAAGGGCAGCAGGGAGATGATAGCAGCCTAATGGAGGCAGGAATGTTTCGAGCACTGAGGAGAAGGAGCAGGGCTCCCTGTCCCATTTTTCCCATCAGACCAAGGGGGCCTCTGCAGTCCTCATAGAGGTCTCCCAGCTGGCATATGAAGCATTGTGAAGAGGGCAGCACAAAAGATGATCTGATTTGATTGTGACCTGTCTGACTTTAAAGCAGCTGCTGCCTTTTACAAACCAAGGTTGTAAACAGTGAGCACATCACTTGGGACCAGCAGCCAGGAAAAGGATAATTACTGTGTGGAGTTAATTCATTTGCTCTGTTGTAAGCACTCATGCTGACTGCAGGGAGGTCAGACCTGTCAGTAGAGGACAGGAGAGCCTGGGTCCTTGTCTTTACAGAAAGGATGCAAGTACAGATTCATTAAAGCAATAATAAGGGTCTTTAAATGCTTTCTTTGCACGGGTAGTTCTTTGGGTGAGTTGCCCCTGCCCGCTGTCCTGTGGGCAGAGAGGAGGGACATGACACACGGTTTCACATCCTCAGGGAAGGAAGTCCATCCCTAAACGGCTGAACAATGAACTTGGGTTGCACGAGGCTTCGACCCAAACCCAGAGCTGCTTTGAAGCCAGAGGTAGGGCTTACCAAAAAACCCAAAGAGCTGAAACCCATCCAAACCCCAGACACTCCAATGCATAGAGTGCTCCCTGGAAGTTTGCCATAAGAGATTCAAAGGTGGGACTCCAAGCTGTCCTGGCAGTTGTACGGGCTGTGAAATATTTCAACTGAGCCATAGGAGAAACGTCAGAGATTGGTGGAGTGCTAGAAATGAAACAATATTTGATCATGAGAGAAGTATGGCTTGCACTTGGGATAGCTGGGAGGGAAGAAGGGTAGAAAGATGGTGATGGTGACCTCATGGGGTGACTACCACGCCTTGGATGGGTATCTCTAGGCTTATTCCCAGTTTTCCCTGGCAGTGACATCTTTGCTTCTCCTGTGGTTTGGAATTTATGGCAGTTCTGCTCTGCAGGATGTCTCCCCTTCACCTCCCAGCAGGGTCATGCCATCTCACCAACCTCCTGGCAAAAGGGCTTTCACCCTCTGCTGTATGACTGGAGCAAAAGGCTTCTGGCTTAGGAAGGAGGTTGCCATGGAAACAAAAGACTAGGTTATCCATAAAGACTATTTTGTGTCTCAATTAATTACTGTTTCAAGAAGAAGCAGGAAACGTCTATCCTTCCCGAAGAGGAGGCAGAACACTAAACACCAGCAAGTTTGCACAAAGCAAACTTTGTGTTTTTGCTGGGAATTTCTGCAGCATTTCAGGCTGTGCAGTTTCTACTGTCAAGAGCTGCCTTTCCCAGCTATGCCTGGCTTTAGACAAGTGGAAAAACCTCTGTCATCACCCGCCCACCTCCCAGACAACACCTGAGGACAGCTTAGGATTTGCCCTGGCATCTATTCAGCCTCTAATACTCCCCACTTCCCACAAGGGACTGTACCACAGGCAGTTCCTGCCATGGTGCTCTCTGCTGTCCTTAGCCCGATATTGCTCTGCTTTGTCCTGCTGCCACACTACCCTTGTGCCCAGCTCTCCCCCACGTCTGTCACTGGAAGCAGTCCCTCTCCCTGCTCCAGGCTGAGTCCCTCCCTGAGCTCACACCTCGCTGCCGTGTCCTGCTCTCGCCGCTGCTGTGACAAGCAAGGTGTGTTTAACTCCTTTCACCCTGGCCCATCAGGTGCTTCCTCTACCTCTTTTAAATATTTTTCTAGACTTTTTTTCTTTCTAAGGCCTCCCTGTAAATTTTCCTCTCTCACTGTGGGCTCTGGGCCTATTAATATTGTTCATTGCAGCTGCAGAGCAGAGCCCATCCCTTGTGCTTCCCACCTTCCCTTGAATGTGGAATCCCCAACTGTTCCAAGCTGCCCATTGAAAACACACCTATATTTGTTATTTTTTTAGAACCCAGAGACTCTGACTCAGCACAGCCAAATGAGTGATGCTTACCACTAGGAGTACTTTTCATGGCTTCTATATCTTCATCTGTCTTCCTTACTACTACCAAAAGTTCCCTTTGAAATTAGGTATAGAGGAATCAGTTGCCAACGTGACCACGGTTTTCTTTCAAGGAAAGGTGGCACATTTGGGCTTTTGGGGAGTTTTTTGTGTTGTTTTGAAGGTTTTTGTGAGGCCCATGTAAAGCACTGCACACCACCTGCCCTCTGTGAAATTCTTATGAGCTGAGCAGAACTTGGTGGGAGGGGAGGAACAGAAAACATTACTGAGCAAGAAAATAATTTTTCAGATAGAAGAAACATAAAGCAGAAAACCATGAAGTGTTTCAAGAAATTTTGTACTTTTCCCACCAAAATGACTCTTGCATCCAAAATGCTCACAAAGAGCATCACAGAAGTATTGTGGCCTTCTTGGCCTCTGGTGACCGAATCCTAAAGACCCCAGGCCAGTTGTCCACCTGACAGGGCACTGAAGATGGGTCCCCAGGCAGTGAGGTGTCTGCAGGAAATATGCCCTGCACACCCACTGTACAAGGAGAGCAAACATTCTAACGCTGGATCAGAAGAAGAGATTTATTTTTAGCCAGTGTAACTAAAAACTCAACATTTATTATGGAAGATATGGAGGTAAGTGGCTTTGGTTCACTTGGGTTCATCACAAGAATTCCACAGAGAAGGAAAAAATTAAACCCTGTGAATTTTTTAACTAGCTGTGACACAAAACACAGTGTACCTTGTAGGAAGAGCTTGGTAGCTTGCAAAGTCAGGCACTTGGATGTCTGCCACCCAGTTCAATTTATCTATATGTGACCTGACTTTCCAAGTATCCCCTTCCCTGCTCTTTCATACTTTATGAGATCTGCCTTGCTTCTCCTCTTCTCCACGTTATTTTTGTTCCTTGCTAGGGACTGGTTTCCAGTTGGAACTCACTATCTCCATATCTTTGAGTTATCACTCATTTCTTCCATCTCATTTAGATATATACATATATATAGGGATATATATATATATATATTATTATTTTTTTTTTCTTCTCTAGCACTTTTTCCTTCTGCATATTTCCAAGCCCCTGTTTACATTTAGTAAGATCCTGTCACGCAGGAGCTGGAGCTGGCAATCTGCTATCTAATATTTATG